GAGAATTACACATTTCTCATGGGCCATATTTTCTCATCATGTTTAGATGCAGCTATTTTTATTCTTTGAAACCTGCCTTCTCCTTTTTCTGTCAAGGACAGAAATTACAAGAGGTGGGGCGGATATTTTTCGCATGTTTCAAAATCTCTATGCCAGGAATTCCTTGCACACCAAGAACTGGCGCTCAGAGCACCCCCTTTCTCCACGCCGGGTTCTCGTGCCTTAAACCCCAGAACGTCACTTGGTGGGTGGAGAGAGGAAGGACAACAAAGAAACTAACTCCATTTCAGTGTGAGGGTTCCCATCACCCCTCACAGCCTCTGCTTCCCAGAGCAGGTGGGTGTAGGGTACAAAGCTGTCACACCTCGTTTCAATGAAGGGTTTTCTAGCTGGACAGTTCACCCTTTACTCTCTGGCCAACTACTGGGATGTATCAAAGCGCCACTGTAATTACTGTAAAGTGCTATAACTCGTTATTTGCATTTGTAAGTGTGTAGTTCTGTTCAGTCCCTTTCTGTCCCTGTGTAGAGTTAGCATGTGGTCCTGAAGACGTTCAAGGCACTTAGGTAAATGGGACCTTTTCTCAAGAACCCTGATGCTGTAGGTGTAAAAAAAAAAAAACAAAAAAACCCTGATGGCTTTAGGCACACAGGGTGACCGAGCATTTCTGCCCTCCGTGCACACAGTATTAACACTGTGCACGGTATTCCTATCAAGCCAGATTCCAGTTGAGATTTTCTTTTCATTTTACTAGGTTTGTCAGTGAATAAACAGACATTTGAATTGCCATTTCTACTTGTAAAATATTCTTCAGCTGTATTATTCAGTATAAGTATTTGCCATCACAAAAGGTAAACATGATACATAATACTGTATCTGTGTTACCAAGTGTCAAACAGAATTTGGAAACCTTGCTAAATAGATAACAGTCATTATGCAGTGGTGACCCGGCTGAGGAGAGGAAGCCTCCATTCCTCCTCCTCGAGTTGCTATTACTGTCACTGGATTTCACATCTTGCCATGCCAGGGGAGCTGCCTTGCCTGTCTTATGTCTCAAACCTTTGGGATGTTAAAATAGGGCTAAATAACCTTTGGACTGGGCTGAAAGCAACCTTGTTTCCCAACAAACCGTTTGCAAACAAACAAGAAAGCAGTTATTATGACAACTGGACTGATGACTACTGGAGTGAAAATTTTAAATATTGTTTAGAATTAACATCACTGTTATGTTATTTGCACCAATAGAAATTCCTTCCTTCTGTTGATGTGATCATTCCCCTTCCCCTTCTCATAAATACACATTGCTTTGGTCTCCTAATGGAACAGTTTTTGAACTTCTGCCCAAATCATTGTGTCCCGAATAGTTACCTTTGTTGATATCAAATAAATGCTTGTTGCCTCTTACTTTGAAAGGCCTTTTTATTTTTAGGTTATCAAATAAATTGGGAAAAGTGGAGAGCAAAAGCTCCCTTTGAGCAGATGTAATTGATTTACTGACTTTGGCCATATTATCTGACCAGTAGGTGGCGCTGTGGATCGAGGTTTCCTGGGTTCACAGAGCCCCTCACGTTTTAATTGCTCTTGGAAAGCACTTTGTCAGGATTAATTAGAAACCCACCTCAGACTAATAAACTCTCCCCCTGAGAGGTGATAACTCAGCGTGGCCCCTGTGGCACCGAAGGGCTGAGAAGAGGCTTCTTCAGTGCAACCTTGAAAAGAGAGATGTACCCTTCCCATATCACGGTCCTTCCGGTGAGAGGCTCTGTGGAGTTAGGGACCCTCAGACACTTGGATCGGGGGCTTCATCAGACTCAAGCCCCTCAGAGTCTGAGGTGAAAGGGTTTGTCATGGTTAGTCAAGAGCTTGACTTTGGAGCTAACCTGGCCTGGGTCTGGATGTCAGCACGGCCTCACCTTGGTGTATGATGCTGGGAAATTACCTTTCCTGGGCCTCTGCGTTAGTCATCAATAGAAACTCTATATAAAGAGAGAGAATCAATAAGGGGTGTGTGTGTGTGTATGTGTGTGTGCGTGTGTGTACACACAGAGGAAGGGAGGGAGAGAATTATTTTAAAGAATTTTTACAAACTTCCAGTCAAGATGGCAGAGTAAACAATAATGGGAATACTATAATTGTAAAAATAAATGTTAAACTTCCCTTTGAAAAAGAGTTAATACAGAAAAAAAAAAAAAAAGGCTTTACTCATGGGGCCGTGGGGGCTGGCAAGTCTGAAATGTGCGGGGCTGTCCAGCAGGCTGGAGACCCAAGCAAGAGCTGATGTTGTGGTCTCCTGTCTGAAGCAGTCTGAAGGCCGAATTATTCCTTCCTCTGGAGGATCCAGTCTTTCCCCTCAAGACTTAACTGAATGGATGCGGTCCGCCACATTAGGGAAGCAAGTAACCTGCTTTATTCAAGTCTACTGATTTAAATGCTCATCACCTCTAGAAAACACATTTACAACAATATCTAGACTGTGGCTTGACAAAACATATGGGCATCATAGCCTAGCCATGTTGACACATGAAATTAATCATCACAACCTCCATTTACTTGCTTGTAAAATGGGCAATGATACTTTTTTTTTTCCTCCAAGATTTAAATGTGTGTAAGATACTTGGTCCATTGCAAAAATTTTCAGTGGACAACAGCTGCATTTGTTATGACTCCTGCAAAGTGAATTGCATGGTCTGGAGCCTGAAGTTTCCAGATTGTGTGAGACAGTGGGAGATGATCAAGGCAGCTGAGAGACATGCAGCCCAAGGAGTGAAGCACCTGTGCCCAGACCTGTTAGCCGGATGCTTGTGACAGGAGCTGGACTGGTGTCCCCAAGTGCCACCGGAGCTGATGTCTTCTGAATGAGCTCATTATGACTTATTTACGAACTGCTTAGGCTTAGTATAGACTTACTCCAGGAAGTTCAACTCAATTATCTGAGCTCAGTGAGCTATCTTTCCAGTACACTGCCCAGGACGTGTACCTGTGTGGATGATCTGTGAACAGCTCTAACCCAGGCCAATGGTGACCTTGGTTGACTTGGCCTCTGTGCTTTCCAGCTTCTTCGGGGCCCTGCATGAAGCTAGATATTTGTGCTTCATGCCCTCCTCGAGCCAGCTGGCCTGGCTCTGCCGGCTATGCTTAGACCTCTTTCACTGGGTGACTAGTTTGGACACCTAATTTCAGCTGCCACGGGTTCTAGGCTGGAACATAAAAGCAGTCTCCCAGGGGAACTTTGGGTTCAGTCTCCACAGACCATCACCATGAGGGACGGGCTCCTATCAGGAGATCAAAGGCACCCAGGACTCTGGCCACAGAGGAGAGTGTGCACACAGTCTCACCCAGTGACACAATCCCCTTCTCCTGGCAGCGTTTCAAAACTGAAGCTCAGCAGAATCATGGGAGGGAGAAATCCCAGTGGCCACAAGCACATGGGACTTGGGCATGAAGAAGCAACGACGTCCCATTCTCCTCTCCACTGAGTGCCAGAGCTCCTGTGCCTGACAACATGCTTGCTGGTTCTAGGTGCCACCTTTTCTCTCGAAATGCTTTGTAAATGTCTGGTGTCACACTCTTTTCAATAAGGGTTGGGCCCAGATTCTCCCCCTATGAACTGGTGCCACACCTTATCCCAGTTGTAAAATTCTCTTTACCTAGCCAAGACATGCTTCCCTCCTTCAGGCAGGCTTCCAGGATCTCCAGCTGAGGCAGAAGAGGAGGCAGCCACTAGGCTCCTGCAACCTCCGACCCCCACAGCACCAGCTGAGGCAGGAGCAGCATCTGGAGACTCTGGAGGGCCAGGGGCCCCTCCAACACCCTCGGCAGCCAGAAGCCCTCCCCAGAGAAGTAGCCCCTGTAACTGAGCCCCTTGTGATTTTAATACCCTAGTATTTATGACAGCTAGAATCAAATAATTTACTTCTTAATTAAAATACAGGTATAGGCTTTAACCCAACGTTTCCCTTGCTTTGGTTGTCACACGTCGTATAGACAAAGATTAAAAACGTAAGCCAGTCCTGTTCTGAAGGATTGCCTGTAAAGCAAGTTCTCAGAGAAATGTTTAAAGGTATACTGTGCTTGGGATAATAGAAAAATACGGCTAGTTAAGCACAAAACAATAATAGCTTAAACGATGATGATAGCCACAAGATGTCTGGTTTCTGCTTTGCGCTTTTAAAGATAATATCACTGATGCACGATTATGAGATATTTTGCAGAATCTTGGCTCTTCGACCTAGATCCTCTTGTTCTCACAAGATTGTGTTGTTAATGTACTCTTTGTCAAGCAGGAGGAAATAACTTCAGGGTCTCGAGGAAAGTTTATGAGTTTGTTTTGCAGAAGGAAAGACTGTCTCCACAAGGTAGCTGCGACCAGCTGCTGGCCCCCAGGAGTCTGATGTGAAAAAGTGTTATCTGTAACTAAAGAAACACAGACTTCTCTCTCAGTCCCCTGGAACCCCCTCCTCCTCCTCTTTAAAACTCCCCTGCTTGGTCTGGAACTTCGAGATGATCCGCAGTCGTCACAGGTTGCCAGCTTCCTGAATAAAGCAAACTTTGCTTTCCACCCAACACTGTCTGTGGAGTACTGGCTTTCCAGTGATGCTGAACTTGGTTCCCAGCCACCCCCTCTGCCACCACTCTGCTTCCGGGTGACACCTTCACCTAAGGGAGTCAGCCCTGGGCAGCTCTGCTCTTCCTCCCATCACCCACGCCAACCAGATGAAGGCCTCCGGTTGCTGACTCTTGTAGGACCTGCTAATTATGTTTCTTAGAGCTTAAGTAACAGCGTTTTGTGACTCATTTTTAAAACTTAATGTTTATCAAAGTAACGGAGACACTAGCTTTAATTCAAGTAATACTGCAAGGCTTATGATGATGACTCACTCCACACTTTCGATTCTCAGTTTCGAGGGGTAATCACTCAACTCTCAAAGGTCTCCCTTCAGGCGATTAATTAATTATTATTATTTTTTAAAAATTTATTTATTATGGTGACATCGGTTAAGCAAAATATGGAACGCTTCACGAATTTGCGTGTCATCCTTGTGCAGGGCCCACGCTCATCCTGCATCATTCCGATTTTAGTACATGTGCTGCCAAAGTGAGCACTGTTTATTTCTTAACTTATGCTTATACTGTTACTTCTCGGGTTTTAAGTTTCAGATATTCTCAACTGACTTGGAAGATGATTTAACTCTCACGCCACATATACATTCATTTCCCTCACTCGCCGCCCATATCTTAAATTTGGTTTCATCTCTGTTTGGGGGTTAAATTTATTATTTACATTGTTTTAACGGTGTAAATATTCCCAGTTGAGCCATGTCATGCACTATAATTACATTTCTGTTAGTTTTTCTGTATCTGAAAATGTCTTTATTTCGCCTTCTTTCTTGAAGGATATATTTGGAAGATATAGACTTTTGGGTTGACGGTTTTTTTCTTTTCTGGAGTCAAAGATGGCTTCCCCGCTTTCTGATGAGAAGTTCAAGTCACTCGAATTCCGTACAAAATTTGTTTCTGTTTTCATGATTTTCTCTTTATCCTTGATTTTCGAAAGCTTGACTAGGCCTAAGGTTCTTAGGCCTAGTTTTCTTTAAATTTATCTTGGTTTGGGGTTTATCGATCTTCTCTAATTTCTAAATTCAGTCTACACTAAAGCTGAGGAGTTTTTAGTTATTTCCTCAGATAGTTTTTCGGCCACATTCTCGCTCCTTGCCTAAATCTTTTTTCTCTTCTTCAGATTCGATGATTTCTATTTACCTGGTTTTATCTTCACTGATTCTTTCCTCCATCATTTCAATTTGCTAGGAAGCCCATTCCTTGATTATTTTTAAAATTTCAGATATCCTTTTAGTTCTAAAATGTCCTTTTGTTGGTTTGTTTCTCTGCTGAAATTTTCTAGTTTTTTTTTTATTCATTAAAAGTATATTTTGTTTTATATCAGAATAGTCACAATAGCTGCCTTAAAGCCCCCATCTGGTTGTTCCAGTGTTCGGGTCATCCTGGAGGTGGCATCTGTTAATTGTCTTTTCCCTTGAGAGAGGATCCTATCTTCCTGCTTCTTCCTATGTTGAAAAACTTTGGATTGTATCCTGCCCATTGTGAACGTTACGCTGCATAGATTCTAAACTCTGTGATGCTGCTCACAAGAGAGTTGCTATTTTGGTTTTAGTGGGTGATGAGCTCCGTTACACTCAAGCTGCAGATTTCCATGCTTGTAACCAGCAGTGGCTTCTATTTTAACTCAGTTCTTTCAACCTTAGTTGCAAGCGACTTCTGTCATGCACCACACATGCACATTTTCAGGGGTGCCCAGAGACCTGGGTGAGTTCACATGTGGAATGGGGAGCCCTCCTTCTCTGACGATCTTCTTTGTGAGTCTCCCCCTCTCTCCAGCAGCCTGGGTTCCTCTGAGCCCCCTTCCCTGGTTTCCAGAAGCACAGTGAGCTTTACTACTGGAGTGTTAGCTGCCAGGGGCCTCAGGCTGCTTGCTCCAATTGTGGACGCCCCTCCCCAAACTGCCTGCTTTTGTTCAGTCTCCAGAGCTCTTAGGTCGTGTTTTCTGTATTTTGTCCAAAGTGTGTAGTTGTTATTGGTGGGAAGGTCGGTTTCTCAGGAGCTTTCTCCTCCATAATGGACGTTGACACTGTAAATTTACTTACAGTGAAAAACACATGTGTGCCATTTCCTTTTTTTATAGAATTTTTTTGGGACATGATGTATATGTGTGCTTTATTCTTTAAAGCAATCCTTTTTAAAATTTGCCTATTTAAAACATGAAATCTCTTGCTTTTCTTCCTCTCCTTCCCCGTGGAGTTAGGGTTTAAGCTCTCTAATGGCAGCCGATGATCGAGGTTTTTACTTTAAGCCATGAAGCTTTATCTGCTGATCAGTTAGAACAGCGCTGCTCCTCGTGGCTTCCTGTCACACCTGACAGTGGTCACTTCTCAGAATGTTCTTCTCCTTCTCAAGCGTCGCTGAATCTGTTTCACTGCAGCTCCTGTGAACGCTTTGACAGTTAGGTCGATGGTTTGTCATTGAGCAAAATCTGTTCTGCTTCCACTTTGAAGATGCCTGCCCTCACCAGACGACCGGTGCCCCACACTGAGACACTCCTGTGTCAGAGGTAGAGGGGGGTTCTTTCTTTGTTTCCCTTATCTCTTACCATGCTTGGCTAAGTGACTACACCTAACATCTAACCTTTTCAGGTTAAACTCAGTCACCACCGTAACACTCTCCCTTCCCTTGCCCCCGGCCCATAATGCACAGCGCGTGCTTGAATTGGCTCTTCATCCTCGCTGAGTCCCGGGGAAAGTCTGCCTGTCCTCGGTCCATTTCTGCTTAGTGACTTGTTCTTCCCTTAGGATCCCTGATATATGTTTTCTCTCCTATAAGTTGCAACTGTAGCTGAGTGAAACAAATTGTAACTGAATAAAAGAAAGGATAACTGAATACTCTGGAGAAAGCCGCTGAAGCTTTACCGGGCAACTAGGAGAGTTACCATGGAGGCTCCTTGAAGTTCAAACCAGCAGTGGAATGCACCTACACAGTTTTTACACTTTTTCTTTTTCTCCACAGCAGAATAAGAGCAACAGAAAATTCTCCAGGCTTGGCTGCCAGCAGCCCCCTCCGCAGGGAGGTCTGCTGCTCAGAAGGGGCGGTCTGTCTGCTGGACCTGGACGGCCCCGTATGTCAGGCTTCTTCCAGAAGTGGTTTCCTTCAGCCACTTATGTAACGTCTAGTAAAACATAATGAGGCACACTGAAAAGTGGGGGCTTGAGGGCTGGCCTTGAAGCTAATGGAGGTTATAGGGGTTCTAAAGCCCTCTCCAACTTTCCCCCACCGCATAGGTGCCACCCCTCGGGCTCTGGGAATGGGGCTGCTGCCCATACGAGACCGTGAGTCAGCGGGCCTGGGAGAGGCGGGTCGCAGGCAGCTGTCTGCACCTCTGAAGGGGACACAGCTGTCCGAGGTGTGGGGACCCCATGGAGCAAATGTGGGAGGGCCAGGAGGCCGGGACACCTTGCTGGGAGATTTCCAGAGGAGACGCCATATCTTCAGAAGTCTAAGGAGGACTGGGCGCGGGCGGCTTCTCACTGGGAAGTCAACTTCAGGAAGCCGCTCGCATCCATTATGCGGCCTGAACACAGAACTGCGGTTCTCCCAGACACCAGACGGTGAGTGCCGGGGAGGCCATGGCGTTGGATTCCGGCAGACCCAGGTTCTAATCCTGGCTCTGGCTGGCTGCTTGATCCTGGGCAAGTTATTCCACTCTTTAAGACTCAGTTTCTTTATCTATAAAATGGGGTGAAAACAGTTATCTGGCATACAGTATAGCATACTGTATTAAAGTTTTTATGGATTAATAATTTTTGAATTTATTAAAATTTATTAAAATCAGACTTAATTAAAAAAAAAAAACAACAACAGTATAATACAAAAATTTTTAAAGCTCCAAAAAATATACGTTGAAAAAGCATCCCCCATCCGTTCTTCCTGAGCACCCTGTTGCCTTTCGCACTAGGGGGTACACGGTGCTAGCGTGAACAGCTCCGATCTGTCGGGTTCACCTTGCGTCGGGATGGTGCGGTGTAACCTCCCTGCACTTAGCCCCGCTTCGTACACAGCTTCTGCTCTTCCCACTACTCCATAGTAACTCCTCCCACCCACAGACCCGCCACCTGTCCATCAGCAGCCAGGCTGACGAGGTGCCCAGGAGGGAGGGAGGAAGGGTGTTTTTATATCCACACAGACATCAGACAACACTGTAGTAAAAATAACAGCAGCAGCTGCCAGACTAAGTCTGCTAAATTCTTTGCGCGGATCCTCTCGCCTGAGCCTCACAAGCACCCTCTCAGGAGGCCGCTTCCATTCCCTCTTTAGAGAAATAAAACAGGCTCAGAGAGAGTAAAGAGGGTGAAGAACATGGCTGGCTTAGAAAGGAAGTAACAGACGGGATTCAAATCCAGGCAGTCCAGCGGGGGATCCTGAGCTTTGTTCCCTGGGGGAGGCGGTGGCTAAGGGACCGTGAAGGCTGGAGGCTGGACAGGCAAGAGGGAGCTGATGTCATAGACCCAGAGAATGCGCTGGGACCGGGGGAGGGCGGCTGCGGCTGCCATGAGGACGGGGCAAGTGGTGAGACCTGAAAGAATAAGACGTGAGTCACGAGCAAGGTTCAGGGGCCAGAACCCCACAAATGAAAGACGACGAGCTGAGAGTTTAAAGCCACATGTGGACGAAGAGAACTAGGTCAGTAGTAGTGACGTCCCAGCTTTGAGACTCGCCGTCCCAGTCACCGACCTGCTGCGCGAAACCACCCCCTACACAGTGGTTTAAAACGCCAGTCATCTGCTTTGCCTGCGAACCTGAGTTTGGGCAGGGTCTGGTGGGGTCGGCTTGTTGCCGCTCCGCGTGGCATCGGCAGGGGTGACGTGAAGGTGGGAGCTTGGAAGCATCTGAGAGTCTGCTCACTTAACACTTCGGGTGATTGAAGCTGGTCGTCAGCCAAACACCTACACGTCAGACGCGCCCTGCTGCTGTGTGCCTTCCTCCCGGCATGCAAGTGGGCAACATCCTTAGTCATTAGGGAATGCGAATGAAAACCACGGTGAAATACCACTCCTAGTAGAATGTCTAAAATAAAAAAGACTGACCATACCCCGTGGTGTTGAGATACTCATACAACCGCTTTGGAAAAGGGCTTGGCATTTTCTTAGAAAGTTAAACACACACTTATCACATGACTCGACCATGCAACTCCTAGGTATTTACCCAAGAGAAATAAAAGCACGTGTCTCTTACAAAGATTTACACACGAATGTTCACAGCAGCTTTATTTGAACTAGCCCCAAGAGAGATACGACCCAAATGTCCATCAACAAGCGAATAAAAAAGTCAATTACAGTAAAACTATGCAATAAAATACAATTCAGGAACCAAAATGAATTAACTATTGATACATGCAAAAATATGGATGGCTCTCGAAATTATTATGCTGAGTGAAGGAAGCCAGACAAAAGTATATGTGTAGCATTATTCAACTTATATATGTCTAGAAAATGCAAACTAACATCAACGGCTGTCTGGAGATGCTAAGGGTGGGGTGT